TAATTCCCAATCCAGGCAGACTGATACATATTCTTTCCATGACTGCGATGTTCAAGGGACATATCTTAGTACATCAGTGTCAGAAAGGTGGGAGATAATGGCAAAGACGTGTCAGATGAAGTCCTAGGCATCCCTGTGAGTTGAACATGGTATCTTTATTGAGCTCCTGTAAAATATATACATAGATAAAATTCAATGAAACCTTTGTATAAGCAACAAAATCATATCATTGAGTCTGAGGGTCTGATGGAGGAAAAAATGTAGCTAAGACTCTCCAATACAGGTGGAGAACATCACCTGCTGTAGCCTTTTGGTAGGAAATGAATATGTTTGTTTGTGTTTGTGTGCGAATATGATTGGGGAGCCTGTGGGATTTAATAGACACGCAAATAGATCTCTCAGGATAAATAACAGCTTTGATGACTAGGGGAGGAAATCACAGTCTACCCCCATGCATAGTTCACCTGCTGTGCTGCAAGTCATGATGCAACCACCTAATGGTGAGAATAAGACCTCCACTGGTTTTGTACATCTTGCCAATTAAGATCATGGACAGAGGGCAAAAGAGAGATTTTATGGGGGAAAAAAAGTTGTTCCCTCCTGCTTTTACTAAGAAAAAGGGTGCATGTTCAGATGCCACTGCGGAGTAGAAGGGTCCCGCAACTATCCCCAGCCATTATTTTATACCTCGATGTTGTTTTTGATGAATATGTTAATTAGCAGAATCTATGGCTTCTTATTAGCATGATTATCTAACAGTGATGCGTGTCAAAATGTAGGCTGAAAAGAACACATCAGAATCCAAGGCTGCCGACTTGCTTGTCACTTCAGAAGGCAAATGTAATTCGGAGACGTTGTCGTGTTTATGTAGCTTTTCAGAACAAGACGATCCCGCATCGCATTTTAAACAGAAATATAGTAGTAAAAATAACAACAAAACGCACCAACTGTCATTCCTTTTCTGTTCTTTGTCACATATTTTTTTTACATTTTAGACACTCAGAATTGCTTCATATTTCGCTTCCTCGTTATAAAGACGCAGCTCTAATGAAATGAAACATGAACAATGGACTGTATAGGGAGAAATGTTTAATATTCCATCCATCCATCTTCTGGGCCCACTTGTCCTATTGAGGGTCACAGGGGTCTGCACCCTATTCTGGAAGCTATGGGCGCAAGACGGGGAGTGACCCAGGACAGGGCGCATTCACACACCATTCGGGGGGGGGGTTTAAAAAAAGTCTGCTAAATGGCTGTTTCCCATGACTTTTAAGGCCCACACCAAAACAACATGGTATGCATATCGCGACGGGGGAAAGCACTGGCTGGTCTTTATTCTTAGGGGGATTATTAACCCGCCACCCCCCCCCCAATTGGAGCAGATTTTTTTGTAGTATAAGTACACCAAAATAATCATGAATGTAATTCAAGTAAAGGCCTTTTCTCAAACTACAAAATGCTTGACATTCTAACCACTGCGCCATCTACTGAAAGTTCCATGGTGTTTCGGCCATTCTTAGCCAATGCACTGAAAGCACTGATCACCAGGGCTTCTGGTACGGATCTGCAGGACCTTTTATATCAGAGGCTGTAATCCCGAGAGACTCGCTTTGGGGGAAAAACTCCATGAGAATCCATCCCTTCACTCCTGATGAATGTCAGAGCTCATACGGCCAGCCTCACTCTCCCTACTGCCTTGCTGAAGAAGAACGGAGTGTGAAATGTCTGTCTGGACTTCGCAGAGTGTAAGGAATAAGTGGGACCATTTTTCTTGCGAAACAAAACGAACGTGTTAAATGAGACGCATTGTCCTTGTTGTAATAACGTTAATAATCAGATGTAAATAAAAAAAAACTAATGGCAGCTGGCATGTAGAACATGAAGCATAAAAGTGAAGCATAAAACAGCCCCCCGCCCCCCCCCCCAGCTACTGCTCCGTGGAAGCATTTGGTTTCTTTCAGGGACAGAATTTTTGACCATATTGAACACAAACAAAATTCCAAACTGCAGCACTGAAACCAAACATCCTGTTGAAGGTCACATGACAGCTTGCTCAGTTCGAAGGTCAGGGATTTGTGAAGTAGCATAAAAGTACAAAAGTGCATTAATAATAGAGACCAGGGCTGTACTGGGCATTTGGCACATCATGGAATCTGCCAGTGGGTTTGTGGGCCGCAAAAATCCATCATGGGAACACCCTTTGATAGGTACATTTTGTGATAAGAATGCATGTGTGATGGAGCTGTATGGGCAAAAATCCTTACAGGACCCATTTTAATTTGAAGGGGATTTGAACCTACGAACATCCAGTCCCCAATGCTACCAATTTGTGCCTCTGTCTCCTAACATAACAAAAACCTGCACTTTGCCCAAACTGAGAAACACCCACCCAGTCTCCCACTTACTGCCTCACTCAGTTACTCATAAATGCTGCACTATGACAACACTGCTTGTGAACAATAGAGAAAGAGCGACAGAGAATTTCCAGACACCCCCCCCCCCCCCCCAGGTGTTATTCCCTTCGCCAGCTCCTGTTTGCCCCTGAAAACTACATGTTGATGTTCCTTCGGCATTCCAGGTTCCACCTGACGTTCCTCTTCTTGGTTATTTTTCTGTATTTAAATGTGCCTCATAATTCCGATATATTGCTGGTGCATTCCACCGGGTTGCCTAGCAACGCCAGTCCAACACACAGCTTTGCTTACAGTATTATGTTACACTAACAATGCAGCAGTCAGAGTCCGAGAAAAGCCTGTTAAATATATATAATATTAATTATATGCATATCATACTTCATGTTCGCATTTGCTGTTTGCAGGCTAAATATTAGACACCTAAATTTACGAGAACGTAACTGCTGACTGCCAATCACAGTGCTGCGCTCCCACGTTACGAAGGCTTACATGTGCCCGCTCACTCCCTGCCAGTCCCCCAGGCACCTGCCTGTCTTGGCAACCTGCATGACGGAGTTAATCTGCCTCCACATGGAAACCGTAGTGAAGCAGCCTGGACCCAGCCAGCCGCCCAGAGCTGCTTGGGAAGTGGTGGAAGAGTGATGGATGTGGGCGCGGCGAGTGGGGAAACAAGAGCAGTGATGATGTCACTTCCAGAGACGGTCATATTTTGAGTAATCAGGATAACTGCGCAGAATTCTGCCAGATGTTTGGCTGCGCTAGCCTCTATCGCTAACGTACAGTTAGCCTGGGCTCGCTATCACTTTCACTTCGCTGCAGGCTCCCAAATGAAGGCAATACCTACAGAGCTGTGACCAGGCTGGGCCCATAAGTCTCTTCCTTATTACAGCATCACTTCCACCATCATTTGCCCCCCATTCTGTTGGTTTACTGATCCCCCAAGCTGCTACTAGCATTCAGTTTCACTCATCTTTCCATAATGCTACTGAAATTGTTTATTATTAGGTTTCCACGGGTCGTGTATAACGTGCAGTTTGATTTGGATTCTGATAACCTGCCTGGAGTTTGACACCAAACTAGTGACATAAAGTGAGTGAGTGTGCGCATTTGTGATTACGACTCTGACCTTCCAGTACAGGCAGTCCCTGGGTTAAGAATGTCCGAGAAACAACTCGTAATGGAGTGCCAGGTGTATATTAAAAATTCAGGTTAAATACAATGGTTTGTAATAACGAACGCACGCACCACTTTATGACGCTCATGAAAACGTTGTGCGGCTTTAGCATTTCGTCGGCTCGAGGTACAGTATGTAGCTACTCTTAGTATTGCTGTATAATTATTAGTATTATAATTTTTCTGACTTACCTACAAATTGAACTGAAAGACAGACTTAGGGAATGGATCTCATTTGTAACCCGTAGACTGCCTGTAATAAACAGTAGCTAAGAGAGAGGTATTCAGTCACATTGGTAACACAATCAGATAGACAATGCCGGAACGACAGAATGGGGAATACCTTCTATTGTAAGTTGTATTAAAATGTTGTGAACTACGTTCCCTGATTTTTAAATGTTGTTGGAAATGGCAAACATTCAGCTGCAGAATTTCCAGTCAATCAAAATGCTATTCAAGGCCTCGTGGAATGAAAAGTAATTCCCTCAGCTATGATCCCGTCAACAGGCCACAATCGATAAAAGAAACAGAGATAAACTGCAGCACATTCAAATACCATCAGAACCTTATTGTCACGTCTGTGCTTTCTTAACTCCGCCTGCCTCAGATGTTCGGTAATAGGCAGAAGGCCGTGAAGAGAAGAACATGGCTGAGAATGTGAAGCAGTTAGCAAGATGAAAATGGTGACACAGCAGCTGTGGAGCTTTATGACACTTTCCCCATTTTTCTTTTAACGAACAATTAAAACAACCATATGTCAACAACACAGAGTACCAGCGCAGAAAAGCTGTAGACCAATGTTTCCCAATCCGGGTCTTGTGGACCCACAGACAGTCCATGATGTGGAGTATCTGGGAGCAAAAACGTGGAGGGAGCAAAAACATGGAGGGAGCAAAAACGTGGAGGGAGCAAAAACATCTGTAGGTCCGCCAGAAGCGGGTTGAGAAACACTGCCATAAAATACCAAGCAGCTTCTCCAGTACGTGAGCTGCCTGCTAATGTTGACCAATGAAGGGGAAATAACTTTAATTTTTTTAGCGCTTTTCCTAAAGCAGAATGCATAAAGACAGAGTCAAACAACATTGGCACTAACTGAGATAGCACAGTTCAGGGTCACATGGGATGAGTGGAGCTGTTCTCTTACGTGAGAGAACGCAGTTTTCTGGGCCTCTGTATCACTGTAGCCTCACTCAGGCTGATTCTCCGCTGTCTCCATAATCAGGTAGTGAGGAGGCACTCATTAAAATGCTTTAAAAAAACCTGAAGCCTCTCAGCAAAGGAGTTTTCTGACTGGGCCTTGAACACAACGCTTGGTTAACTTTTAATTAGTTTGCGCCCTGAGATGAGATGTGTCGGAGTCGCTTCCTCTTGTATCCCAAAGGTCACACACCGATTTCTTTCTCTTTTCTTCAGATCACCAGAAATTGGAGAGAGAAGCTCGGATCTGCAGATTGCTAAAACACCACAATATTGGTGAGTCACCGACAGCCATCACAAGCTGATATGCATTCACACTGACAGAATAGCACTATTTCATCTGGAAGGTGAACAAAGATATTATTAATGCAAAGCATGCATATTTGTGTCATGTGGACCACATTAAGTTCAGCTGGCTTTCACTTTTCAGTGCCCCATCCTTCCTGCCTTGTTTAGTGGAGACATGGGCTGAAAACAGTCTCTGTTAGGTGGGGCTACAGGGGCCGCTTGGGGATGGAGCGCAGCATTTTGATTAAGAGGCCGTTAAAGGGCGTTTCATGGGATTTTCTGCGGTAAATCATTCAAGCTACTCTTATTCATCCACGGCCTGTTCTCATGTGGCATTGTAAGGAGATTCCCTAGTGGGCGATGGCGGTATCGCCAAGTGAGAAAGACGAGCTGAGGTGTCTTCCCTCATGGGTGGAGTTTCGGCGTGGGAGTCGACAGCTGACAGCGAGCGGGGCGCTCCGTCAGTAGTGTCACTGGGGGGTCTGTTACAGCTTTATGCTCCCCTTCGTCAGCTGAAAACAGATCTCTGTTAGAGGCCTGTAGTCTTGTATCCATCACGTATCTGCTTGTCTGTTCCTGTAGACTAGTTCCTGTAGATGAATTAGTCAGAGGATGTTGGAGACAATGAAGAGCGTCATGCAGGAATATCGGCCTGAAGTGATATTCTAGAGTTTTTATTGTTCTCACACTACGGAAGCTGTGGAATTTCTGTAGAATGCCACTTTAAGCTGTTCTAACAAATCGAAATTGCGGACATTATGAAACCTTTTTTAGTGCTTTGACACTACAGTCATTCAAGGATGCTGTTCCAATCGTAATGTGCCCCCCACACCATTTTATAGTGGGCAGCGAGGTGCAAAAATATTCAAACTTCAAAGATTATTCTATATACATTTTTGAAGCTGTACACTCCAAACATCAGTGGAAGCTCTTCTGATGTGACATTACACCGATTATGACACATCTAGGTTTTTAAAGCATCTGACTAATCTCAGCTTTTTAAACATCAGCTCCTATAGACATCGTTATGTGTGTCTTACACACAAAGTCTGATATTAGTGGTTTATGATTATCTGTGGAAGCATTGTAAGTTGTCTGGCTGGACATCCTGTTTCGTGACACTCCATCTCATAAACTTGGCTTGATGAAAAGTGCCCCCCTTCCCCTGTAATGACACACCAACCTGTGCATGCAGGTTTGCAGTACTCACACACACACACACACACAGTTTTGTAATTATATCTTTGTAGGGACTCTCCATTCATTTATATGGGGAAAACTCTAATCCCAACATGATGACCTTATAACCCCTACCCAGCCCTAACCTTAACCATAAGTAACCAAACAAAATACAAGATTTATGGCAATTTCTACGTTTTTGATTGCATTCACGGATCTTTGCGGGGACCTGAAATATGGTCCCCACAACGTTAAAAGACAGGTTTTTGTTACATTGTGGGGGACATTTGGTCCCCACAATGTAATATAAATCTAATACACACACACACACATATACAAACACTACAGCAGCAGCAGCCAGCTGAGATCCACGCTGCGCTGGAGCTGCAACAGGCAGCCGGAATGGGGACACACTTAGAGAGCAAGAATGGGGTCGGAACTGCAGCAGCGTAGGTGCGACTGAGGACATCAGCGGCACGGCGGGTCACGGGGAGCCAGCTATGGTTTCACATTAACATCTGACATCACGAATATGAAGATAATAACAGCCTAACAGGCAGTCTCTTCACTTGGGACATTCATCCTTAATTTCTTTCATATAATTACACAGTGCCTCTGTGGGAAAGACGGAGACCTTCGCATGAAACCGGAGTTTCATTTTGTATTTCCATTTTAGGTGTGAATTAGAGTAGGAAGGGAACAGGACAACAAAAGCCCTGAATAAACAGACATAAAAATGGGGAAACGCACTAAACTGTGTGCGCATGTACAGTAGCGTGCTACTCCGGTGTTTGGCAAACCAGGCAAAACACAACAATATGTAAAAGGCGATGGGAACGAGGATTTGGTACAATAAATTAATACTAATGACTGTGGTCTCTGCGTTGTAAAATGGCCACCTCCCCCACCCCACACCCCCCATTCCCGTCGGCTGTTTATGGAGAACGACTCTGTATCCGAACATTCCCAGAAGATTTCCTCTCCTGGATCTGGGAAGCATTCTGCTTATTGGATCCAGCTGAGACACTGCATAGTGAAAGCTGTGCTGGCTGTCAGCGCCACGCTGTGCTTCAGTGTTTCATGGTCTTAACTTTTCATTTTAATATGGGCCATGAGGTATGACACCGATTAGCAGCCGAAGACTGACCCACTGCCGCGATTGAAAACAGGACCCAATATTGCGCAAGCGCTTACAACTTTAACCAGACAACATGCCTCTGTAACTGCTTTCTGTGCTTCATGTACCCAGGATAAACACCCAAATCAAAGGCACCAGTAAGGTAACACTTTACTTGACAGGGCACAAACACTTAGTAATAACTCAGTTTCTTCTGAATTACAAATCATGAACAAATCATGTACAAATATAGTAGGGATAAAAAACGCATCACGATTCATTAATGATGATAACTCTTTGCTTGAGTGGACATGAATAATGTAGCAGCACACGCTTACTTAATGCATTAATTAATCAGTAACTAGGTGTTTGTTATGTACTCATGATTGATGAATGATGAACAAGCATGGGATCAGTACATAACAAACACTTAGTTACTGGTTAATTAATGCATTAAGTAAGCGTGTGCTGCTACATTATTCGTGTCCCCTCAAGTAAAGCTTGACCATGATGAACAAACTTGAGATCAGTATTTCACTTGTGTTACACAGTGCTTGGTACTTCAGTAGTACAGAAAGGGTTACAAAATTGACAGATACAGTACCCAATATAGGAACTGTTTGAGAGAAAAGATGCATTACGATTCATTGATGAACGAACATCAGACAGGTATGTAACTAATACTTAGTTTGTGGTTAATTAATACAGTACATAAGTAAGAACCTAATATTACATTTTCCCTTTACAATCAGTGCCCCCTCAAATAAAGTGTTTCCCACAGCAATACGCAGCTTTGTTTTTATTTTGTAGAGATTACAGGCATGGATGCCAGAAGGGCACGAATTCCCCGGCACATTCAGGGGCCCCAGCACTTTACAGGGGCCCTTGAATATGAAAATTAGATGGGGTGGGCAACATAACATTTTGTTGGGGGGGCCTATAATTTCTAAATACGATGATATCGCAGGAAATCAAAGACTAATGTAGTGTGGTATACATCCATATTCCAGCTCTTCAGGAGTTAATATCATGATGTGATGTTGACCTCATGCATGCCTATTTTAGAATGCAAACAAAATCTTGTTTTTTTCTTATGGTATTATTTTTCTCAGCCTAATTGTCCGCCCAGTCGCCTCAGAGAAGTGGACTGAATGGAGCAGTCTGCGAAGGTCATCAGATCAGTGTGGCTTTGTGAAAACCAAGGGCGCTGAGATAATGAGCCTAAATGGAAGAAATATTAAATTTCGTTATGGTGTCTGGCGCTATACCGTTCATGGAGACACTGGAAAGGAAGGTGGCTATCCTCATGTCACATACAGTATTTTACCTGCGAGCCTGAAAATTTCATACCACTTACCTGGTGTGATTTAGCTGAGCCATTTAGAGACACATATATTCGCCGGCAGATTGTTAGCATTTAATGCATTGGGACAATTAATCAATTAAGCTATTAGTTACATGTGCCCTGTGGTGGTGGGGCATCCCCTTCAGGGAATTCCCCTGCTGTGCCAGCTGGAATAGCTTCCAGGCAATCTGCAAAACGATACTGGGTTAGTGGTTGGACGATGGATGGAAATGACTATGAAATGTGATCTATCTTCTTATCCCATACAGTGTGAAGGGGGAGCTGAGTCCTGGAGCCCATCCTAGTCTGCAGCGGACACAAGGCAGGGGTGCATCCTGGGATAGATGCTAGTCTGTCCTATGCCACACAAACCATATAGAGATAAAAATTCACAATAACACTGTACTTGAAGCTACCATCTATNGTGCATCCTGGGATAGATGCTAGTCTGTCCTATGCCACACAAACCATATAGAGATAAAAATTCACAATAACACTGTACTTGAAGCTACCATCTATAATGCATTATAATGATCAGCAGTGCATCCTGGGATAGATGCTAGTCTGTCCTATGCCACACAAACCATATAGAGATAAAAATTCACAGTAACACTGTACTTGAATCTACCATCTATAATGCATTATAATGATCAGTTGATTATAGTAGTATCAGTTGAGTATAGTAGTGTTGATTATAATATTTCATAAGTGCCAATGAAGCTCTCATTTATAATACACTATAGATACCTTAATAATGTATTATAATGGTCGGGGTATAAGAATTAAGGATGCTTTGTATTGCATTATGAAGGTATCTATATTGCATTATAGATGAGAGCTTCATAAACCATTCATAATGCATAATACACATAGCTATAATGTGATGCTTTTTCTTATAAATATTTATAGCCATGTCTATAATGCTTTATGAATGGAGTACAATGTGTTTTGAATGTGTTCATAGATTCTTACAGACAGGACATTCATACAAAGTGTTAGCAAATTCACCTGCATGTCGTTTGGCAGCAGGAAGCAACCTGTGCAACAGGCAAAATGTGCAAAACCCCCGGCTCTGATCTGGAAGGCGAATGCGCCGCCCACTGAGCCATCCTGCCACCCTAATTGCAGCCCTGATTCATTAAAATAATTATATGAAAAATCTTTGCTCTTAAAACGAGTGGCTCTATTTTTTTTTTTTAATATTGAGGAGCTTCATAAAGAAAAATTTGCTTGCATTTTAAATATTGCGCTCTCCTCCCATGCCTTCATCCGCCTCTTTCCGCATGGCTTATGCTGCTGGGGTGCCTTATTATAGATAAAACGCTCTGCATTTCTATGATAGTTGTCCAAACACACTTTGGTTGAGATTTCAAGAGATGCATGAGTGACAGTATGGCGTAACAGGATGTGTTTGATAGTAAGCCTGTCAGTATGACACAGTCTCCATGTCGAATGACATCAAATCATCGTTATTCATAGGAAGCAGATCCATTCACAACAAAATGTATTGCAGAAGCTCGTCTAATTGCCCTGACTCTGCATTTCATCCAGGTTGAGTTAAAGGAGTAGCAATTGTAATAACCTATATGTTTGGAAAATACTGGTGACTAGGAGTACGGTATGTTACAATAGTACTTGTGTTTCTAAGATGGTTTCACTGATGTTAGATGCACCATTGTTGAGTTTTTTGTTATATCGGCATATATTTTTGTTATATGCTACATGAATAAACAAAAAAAAATCTTCTGAAAGTCCACTAAATCTTAGACATATGTGCCGGAAGGGAGAGCCAGACATCACTGGGTGTCACTCTGATGTGACCCTGACTGGCCTGAGAGAACTTCCAGTTTGAGTGGTTGTTTTTTCAGTAGAGGACTTAAGGGAGCATTGGGAACCAGAACTGGCCTGAGGAATTTCTATACAAAGAAGCTTGCACACCTACATGCGGCATGCTCCACGGGGGGACCCATGCGCCATGCTCCACGGGGGGACCCATGCGGCATGCTCCACGGGGGGACCCATGCGCCATGCTCCACGGGGGGACCCATGCGCCATGCTCCACGGGGGAACCCATGCGCCATGCTCCACGGGGGAACCCATGCGGCCTGTTGGCTAGAGATACCTGATGATAAGCTGTGAAATCACTCTAATTGGCTTATTGGTGACTATGGCATGTTTAATTAAAATAAAGACACTTAAAAAGTGGGCATCACTGACAGGAAGGTCTGTGATGTCTCACTACCCTCAGTTCCCTGACTGGGGAGCTACAGCTGTCTGGGTCTGACAGGCAACACAAAGCACACAAACTTTTGAGTGACAATAAAAAATAATAGAGAGAAGTTAATAGGATGGGGGTGAAATCGGCACCCAGGTGTGACCTTTGTTTTGAGGTGACAGGCAACTCGAGCTGTAATAGGAGACATTGGATACAAATCAGGAAGTTCACAGAGGAAAGGCAATTCAGAGTCACCAAGTCAATGGAGCTATGTGACTTTGGATTGTGGGATAAATGCTGGGCTGGCGACATACTGTACCCACCAGGGCTGAGGGGTAGGGAGCGGGCCGGGCTGAGGGGGGGGGTGGGGCGCCGGGCTCCGGGGGGGGGGGGGGGGGGGGGGGGGGGGGGGGGGGGCGCCGGGCTCAGGGGGAGTGGGCCGGGCTCAAAAAACCAACTATAAAAACCAACCAGGGCATCACTAGAAATATTTGGGGCCTAAACCCTATAAGCCAACCCGTCGCTGCCCACGCTGAGGGGGCAGGTCTATCCCCAAACACCAAGGAAACTTCCTACCACTAAATCTGTGAATTGAGCATTTCTTCTTCTGTCAAACACCAAGTCATTGTTTATTCTGGTTCTAGACCTAATGCTATCTGTCAACCCAGGTTCCAGTTTCAGTTTTCTCTTCCGACCACCTCTACAACAATGATTATATGTGCGTTACATGTAATAGACTTGGATCATTTGGAATCCAACAAAAAGCTAACAAAACACAAAGCTGAAGGCTTCTTCCACAAGGCGGAGTGCAAGTTGACTGTAGAGGCAGCACAAGCAGCAGCAAAACAGCGATTTAATCTCTCGCTGTGGTTTCCAGTGAGAAAACTCCAGACGTACGTGATGCAGGCTCTGAGATGTAGTTTACGGCACAGTAAAAAAAATGGGTGGGATCCACATGGAGATGCGGCCATCTGCTCAGTGCAGGTAATAGGCGACACATAATGTGGATGCGATGCGACTGCAGTCATTCTGAGCAGATATTGGTGATGGAGCGAAGGAGGATGTCAGTCTCTCCTCGCCGATCACCCACACAAACACACCCATGCTTCCACTCTCCCACGCACTCCTTGAGTCTAATATTTCCCACTTGTGTGACTGCAGACGTATGTGTGTGCAAAAAGGGGTGGAGAAAGATTCTATTATGTATTCATTCCTGGATCTTTTTTCTAAACCAGAAATAAAATCAATCAAAAACACACCATAACATAAGAACCCTCAACATCCTTCAGTTTGACGTTTATTCTTCAAGGGTGAGAGGAAAGCCGTTTATCACGAAAAGACTTTCATAGAAGAATATCTGCCAGAGTGCCACGATATTGGTAAATTCATCGTCTTTCCCCTGCTTTTCACAATGTTGCCTCTCTTCCATTTGCAGTCCGTCTTCATGACAGCATCTCGGAGGAGGGACATCATTACCTCATCTTTGATCTGTGAGTATCTCCTCCTCCGCTTGCCGCGTTGCCTTGACCTCCATATCACTCACAGATTCCTTCACAGCACACGCCGCGGCGCTGCGAACGCACCTTCATCTCCGCGAGGAAGCGTGCGGCACCGTCGTCTGATGTCGCTTCAGTCTTTAGGCTCTTTGTTGGCCGGGCGGGAGCCTCTGGTGTTTCTCTCACACAAATATGCACTTTCAATTAGTTAATATAAACCAGGGATTGCTACATATATTTAGATGGTAATGACTAATGACTCGTGAATTATGAGAGTATAACAATGACATTGTTGTTTGACGTGATGGCAGCAGCAAATGTAAGTTAGCGTGACGGTATGACATTTTTGAAGAATAAAACAGTAAATAAATAATGTCACTCATTTTAACAATACAAAGTTTGAGCAAGGTTACACTGAGAGCCTTTTCTACGGGATTTGTGTTGTTTCAGTGAGCAAGTGGTATCTTAACTAGGCAACCGTGAATATGTTAACCTTTTAAATATGCCAGGTCTAACAGGATCATGTCCCATTCATGGGGGGAAATACGGGCTATTTTTCAGTCATTTATGCTGATTTATTTGCAGGTTCTCTGATCTCAAGGCGGCATCCCCAAAACACAGCGTTCATTAGCACCTGCGGTGAACCGCTCTGAGGCGTAACGCGGATTTCCCGTATCTTTCATATGTCACTTTGATACGGTTTGAAAGTCCATCACAGGCAAACGCTGATCCCTTCAGCAGAGCTGACGCAACGCAGTATCAACGCAATGTTACGACTTTTCGTTAATGCAATTAAATACAGAAAATGCGGAAACTGAACGAGGAAAATAGAGGCAGCTGGCCGCCGACTGGGTGTCGCATTAAAGCATCCGTGTCACTGGTGCCTGGCAGCTTCCCTGACTGCGATTCTGCCCCCCTTTGGACGCAGGTTACTCAAAACAAAAATGCGAAAGAACATCTTTGGCAACCAGTAGTTGGCTTGGTCTGCACATTAATGCTGTTCTGCTCTCTGGTTTATAGAATTAGCTTTGCCTTTATTTCAGGTATTATGCAGGCATTATGGTATATGGCTTAATAATGCATTGGTTTTTTTTAAGCCCACTGGGGAGACTGCAGAGCACGTTGCAGAAAGACGGCCACTAAACTTAGCAATCATTGACATGAAATGCATGAAATGCATGAAATGCAAAGCTGGGGCTAACGGCACTTAACACATCCGCGCTGGCTTCAGATGCGCTGAGAAGACAGCTCTGACTGCTTTGGTGCAGGAAACTTGAGGATGATTATGCAACAAGCCTGAGACATTCAGGGTTACCGTTTAGCCCAACATCGCTATATGGAGCCTATAAAAACTAGCCTGCATAGTGTCTTTGCTTATCATATTTTCTGAATATTATATTGCGCCTAAGGGTGGAAATGACCATGTATTTTACTGAGACATTCTACATACCAGGGATGGTGCAGTGGTTAGCGCTGCTGCCTCACAGCAAGCAGGTCCTGGGTTTGGTCCCGGTCATTTCTGTGTGGAGTTTGCATGCTCTCCCTGGGTTTGCGTGGGTTTTTGCTGGGGGCTCCAGTTTCCTCCCACGGTCCAAAAAGCATGCAGGATAGGTCGATTGGTGACTCTAAATGGGCCCTGTGAGTGTGTTGGCGACTGCCCAGGGTTGGTTCCCGCCTGCGGCCATTGTTCCCAGGTTAAGCTCCAGTCCCCCCTGACACCCAAGTTGGGATTCAGCAGTTTCAGAAAATGGATGGATTCTACATACCTAAGATTCCTTTTAAGATTGACTTTCGCTTGGAGGAAGAGAATACCCGCTGGATAAACGCAATCGAATGATGTTGCGATAGGTATGTTCTGATGAATCCCTTCTGCATCAGGACCCTGCTGACCCGTCAGCCACGCCAGTCATCTTTTGTTCTTGACTAATTAACCTTGATTGTCCTTTTGAATAAATAAATGACACTTACAGTTATTATAATTTATGATTTACATAATAATTGAATCCAGAGTCACGTTAGTCAGATAATAGCAATAATTATGAATGATATTAAGAAAGCAAAAAAAACTTAAAATATTTTTTAAATGTGCCTGCAGATTTAATTATTCAGATTTATCTTAGAAAATGTTACAGGTCTGTTTGTACTTTAAATGATATTCTAGCCAAAAAACAAATAAATACGAAATTAGCACTGAATGTAGGTTAAATTAATTAAGCCCTTACCTGATTGCTTTGAGGACTGAAAAATCAAGCATTCAAATACCTTTTGAGCTTAAGGTGATTTGAATTCCACTGTTTATTCAAATGCTCTAACAAAGGCTGATTCATTAAGAGCTCAACTGGAACACAACCAATATACACACTGCAGGAATAGGACCATAATTAAGAAAACCTGCTCTGTATGCTCCTGTTAGACAGAAAAGGCCTGTATTCAGAAAAGGCCCCTTAACAGTGAGCTTCACGTCAGCGATCAGCCATTACTGTTTTCATTTGCAACAAAGAGAACTCACTCTTGGTTCTTGTACAGCACTGAGTGCAGTTTTGAGAGCTGCATACATGCTGTGCAAACTCACCTTGCTACAGTGTATGGTACACATCAGCCGTGCGCGATTACGAATGCACAAGGGGGGAGAACGATCGCATTTGTGCTAACGACCTCCGATCTGATAAACATGACCTGACGGAGTTTTGAATGGCTAGTAAATTCATTTGGTTGATGTTGGCGACTTCATAATGAATAATGTCCACCTGTCTAACATTTCTCTAAAGCAGGAGTGGGCAGTCTTACCTGCAAAGGGCCGGTGTCTATGCAGGTTTCTGGGATAACCTTTAGGTCAGCTGTTCAAACCCAGGCGTGAGGACTCCTCAGCAAACCAGTCCTCTAATTAGTAATCTAATTAGGGAGTTGCAGCAAAAACCCGCATACACACCGGCCCATTTTTGCCTATCCCTGCTCTAAAGTATATAAGCAACAATATGATAGAAATGACGACTTTTTTAGCATTATGCATACCAAATATTTCTGACATCGAAATATATGCACTCTGGTCAAACACAGGCAGAATACACAGAATGCTCTTAGGCTAATTGATGTCTCCAAACTTCCCATAATGCATTTCTGTGTGCATTACTGGTTACAGCCCACATAGAGCCTTAGGTAAGCTACACCCCCAGCGCCCCCTCCATCTGAAGTGAATTGGCTGGCTAAGTGGGCCCCCCCTTAGAAGGCGGTGTCCTAGGCGGCCTCTTGTGTCACCTGTTGGGTTGTGTGTGTGTCCTTTGATGGACTGGCATCCAGTCCGAGGTGGTACCTGTGTCCACTAGACCAGGCCACAACTTCCCCGTGACCCTGACTGGGATACATGGTTAGAAGAATTACGCTCTGCTTGTTTGCTGTTTCGGTTTTGCCCCAGAAGAGCTGTTTTTGTGTGTGAGCACTGGGTGTCATCTTAGGACTTTCTCTCGATCGGGCAGCTGAAGAGAGCAGCCCATAGAGAAACACAAGCACATGTTCATGATGGAACCTGGGGATTTCCTGGGGTCATTCGGGAGAACCGAGAACACAACAACGCGAGGAGAGAAAGAGCATTCTGGGTGTACTGTGCTGAATTCTCGATAGTGGCTAGGGTCACGGGGAGACAATGGGGTTTACACCAGGACTACGTAACGCTTTACAAAGAACAAAAATATTGTTCTTTGAATGCATTGGGAATCAAAGTTACATGACACTCTTCAATATTCATCATCTTTGAAATAACATTGAGACAAAGCTTAACTTTTGCTATTGGACGCAACCCTGAGAGGATAATCTGAGAAGTGGCGCTTTGAAAATATAGGGTTACGGAGCCAGGAGAACTTGCATTGTGAAACAGTCTGAAAAGGCGGTCTGTTCGCTTTTCTGCGTGTTGTATGAATAATGAAATTCATTCCTAACCATAACAGACCATAAAAAAAATAAAAATCTACTCTTTCCTTAGGCAGAACCTAAAATAATTAAAACCTAACAAATATATGACTTTGTACAATAAAATCCACACATATTTTGGGAAACAACAGCGAGTAAATTGTGAGTAGAGAAAGATGTTTCTACAGCTTTGATGGGGGTGACTTGGTCATGGGGTCTTCGAATCCTCTGTTCCCTGTGATCCACACATGAACTGTTCGGATGTCAGACAGGGACAGTAAGGAGTTGCTGTGACAGAGGGTGACACCCCCACGCATCTGTCCAAGGAGACTGTCCACATGTGTCACGGGCCACGGACAATTAATTAAACTGTGCACGCGCATTTGTGCGTGGATATAAGGGACGAGTGAACAGGAAACGTGCGTCCATCTGCCATTTCATACCCTTGTGACCTCGTAAACTGATCAAGGCTGCTGGAAATGCCATTCCTCCTAATATCATGCTGTGTGTGGGGGTGGCGTGGGGGGGGGTTAAAAAGTTAACCTGTCCTCTCCCGTTGTCCATCAGATAGGCAGCTGTTGAATAGTGCCAGGCATGCTTTACAGAGCAAACCCAGACACAGCGCACTAGCAAACAGGACAGTAAAGTGACACGTAGGCACTTTCGCAGCCAGAGGTCATGAAACATTACTGACAAGTGTTTGTTCAGTTCTGTGTGCACTTCTTTGGAGTCCGACAAGATAATTAGCACTTGAAAGTAAACTTATTTTGAAAAGAACATTATTTACATATTGGCTCTCTTTTGTCTTTTCGCTGCCATTACAAAGTCATTTCCCCTTGTGTTTGTTCTGCTAAAACCAGGGTGACAGGAGGGGAACTCTTTGAAGATATCGTAGCCAGAGAGTATTACAGCGAAGCGGACGCCAGGTGATGGATTCACTCTGTGTTGGCTACTTTTCTTTGTGATTCCTTCTTGACCTTTTCGTTGAGTATTCTCAGTGCGTTTCAAACAAAAGCCCTCATCTCGGCTAAGAATTCCAGGGAACATTAACCTTGTCAGCCATGATGTTACACCACTAAGTATTTCAATAGAACCAAGAATTCAGCACATGTAAGTTTTATCTGTCAACGGCATCATTCACGATGTAGCTGAGACACTTAAAGACAAGCACACTCACCCTCTCTCTGAGGTATATACATTCCATCAGAAACTAGTAACGATTATCTGGATATTGATTACTTACTATCAATATGTAGCATGTGCAGAACAGTGTGAAAACCAATAATAAAAGAAGCTGAAGGGGAACAAACATCCCCACAGCTGACAGAATGACCTTCAGGCTTGTAATAAGACGGATGTTTCAAGTTACTTTCAATCTTTGAGGAATACAAATCTCTTACTAGCATGTCTGTCTTCCACTGATCAATTAGCGTTAGCTGTATACACCAATTGTATAAACATCTTTCCTTTTATTTTAGCCATTGTATTCAGCAGATCCTGGAAGCGGTGCTGCACTGTCATCAGATGGGGGTTGTTCATAGAGATCTCAAGGTAAGACTTCTGTTCGGCCTTTAAAGTCTACCACCTAGCCTTTCCTCATTAGCCTTTCCTAAAGGGAATCGCAATAAGACAATCCTAGTTCTATATAGGTTAATGCAGTCAGGGGAATTTGATAGGGAAAAGCCATCTATACATTATCAGCCTCGTCACAAGTACTCTGCATACATAAATGTCACAGACATAAATGCAAAACAGAAGAGAACATTTGTCACTGAATCTCACTTCCTAGACAGGTGTTTTCATGAGATGTCCCCTCTAAGTCTGCTTTGATATCCTTCAGTGTCACTATTGTGCGAATTGATTTCATTTATACTGTTATGTAGTATCTTTTTACTCTGTATATAGTATTTACTTGTGTCATATTATGAAATGCTTTTTAAATTTAGACCCACAATGTCGGAGAAGAAAGACAAGTTACAGTGAAAGTCAACAAAAATGAAGCAGAATAGATTGGACTGTGTTGTGTTAAGAGGAGGTACATTCAGCAAGTGTTTTGAGGAAAGTCTCTGAAAACTGGTTGAAACAATTTTTGTCCACTCATGCTCTCTTAAATGTGTGAATTGCTATGGTCCTGGATTTTTCAAGTCTTTCAAAAGATTCTTAGTAGGGTTTATGTTAGGATATTTCCTTACTCTTAAAGGGAGTTTCACAGAAAGCAGTTAGTTTTCTGTGCATTTCAGAGGGAGTCAATTCCTTGTATTTCATTTAGCAGAAAATAATTGGTTTCCTGTGTTTCATCCCAAAAGAAACCTTCTTGCATTTCATTTCATTGGGTGGCCATGAGTTTAATGTGTTTCATTTGACAGAAGGTCATCACTTTCCTGCATTTCATTTCACAGAATTGTATGTTAACTGTTTTTCATTTGACAGAATGTCATTGGTTACCTGCGTTTCATTTGACAGAATGTCATTCGTTTTCTGTTTCATTTGACAGGATGTCATTGGTTACCTGCGTTTCATTTTGGTAAATTGTCATTGGTTTCCTGTATACATTTTGGTAGAAGTTCATGAGTTTCCTGTGTTTCATTTCACAGAACGTCATTGGTTTCCTGTATTCATTTTGGTAAATTGTCATTGGTTTGCTGTGTTTCATTTCACCAAAAGGAATTCCTTTGCTATGTTTTTTATTTCACAAAAAAATCATTGATTTCCACAGGGAGCCATGGGTTATATACAGTTAATTTCAGATAAAATCATCGGTCGCCTTTGTTTCATCTGATAGAAAGTGGTACTGTAGGTTTCCTGTGTTTAATTTTTCCGAAAGCCATCAACTTCCTAAGTTTCATTTCACAGAAGCTCACTGGGCTCCTGTTTCATTTCACAAGAAGTCATCAGTTTCCTGTGTTTCCCATCTGCTTGCCTTCATTTCTGTTTGCAGTTCCCCTCCAGTTCCTTCCTCGCGTTTGTGGCCTCATGCCGTGGGTCATTTTCCTGCGTTTCACTTCAGCACATGGATGCAGGTTTTTCATCAGCATCTGTTTATACTTTCACTGTCCTTAATTCCTTTGTTAGAGGATCTTCCCAATAATTTCTTCCACATCCTATTAAAGCTCTGAGACAAATATTATACTGTCCCATTGCTTAAGTTCCGTTACCCCGTTTCCTTGTTTGCAGGCTTTTCCGTGTCGCCCCAAAGAGGCTGCCTGTACTGACTGTTTTCAGGATGAGGCACTTTTTGTTCTTTCATGCTTTCAGCAGATTCTGCTCCCAACAATATTCAAAGACTGATATTCCTGTGTCCCCCCCCGACCAAAAATTATGCTAATGCTAATCCCGACCACTTGCACCAGTGTTCACTGCCTTGACTAATTGTACTGCTCACTGGGCTAATTATAAGGACCATAATTACTTTAGGCCTGCAAAAGATAACATACTTCGTTTTTGCTTTTTCTTTTTGCTTTAAAGATCTATATTGCGTACATAAATGTTCTACTTGATGTGTATTGACCAGGTTGTAAAGCAACATGACATGAAATTGAACCTTAACCTCCTCTGAACCCTTCATAACTCTTCACATGAACAGTCGTGTTCATCTTCTCTTCCTTTGGCCAGCACTGTACCAAACACGTTTGGTTTCCCTCTCTTTCTTTTTCCCTTTTTTTGTATTATTCTGTCTTAATGGTGTTGTAGTGTATCACAGCACTTCCTTGTAAAGCGACTTGGGGTGACTCTATTGTGAAAGGCGCTATATAAAAATAAATTGAACTGAATTGAATTGAATTATTACCTCCACTCAGAGGTACAAGTACAAAGTTGTCGAACTAGCTGGAACAGAGGAGGAAGGGAATTAGTGAGAATTGAAACAATTATTGGTTTTCTATCACTAGGTGTGAAGAGAACCATGAAGGTCACTATTGGACTATGTGGTCCGGGTGCTCGGTAATTGTGAAATTGATTAGCGAGGCAGTTTATAGGAAACTGGCACGTCATGATTTATGGGAAAGAAAACAGCTTGATTTTTGGGGAAACTAAACTGTTGAAAGTGAATTTTCACAGTAGGAAATTTGTCCCAGGAGGCAGATCAGCTAAGCAACTGAAAATCTGGGGAAAATAGTTTACAAGACAGAAGCAGACTGAGTAATTTACTGCCCAGATATCAAGTGTATACATTCTTTTATACATTTTTTTAGGTGGATGGAAATGGCACTTTGTCTTTTCTAATGTTTTTTGTTATTTCACATTCTTAGGGGCTTAGCAGATGCTAAGGTTAGATAGCTTGATTGAGGACATGATTATAGCGTTATTCCACTGTGCTAACAAGATGTTTGAAATTAGCGACACTTCGTTTTGTGTTGAGATGCCACCCAGGGTGCTCCAAAATGGCCACAGTCCCAGCTATATCCATTATGTCAGGCGCATTTTATTCCAACGACAGCTGAGTTCTCTGAGGCCCACACAGAACATCCCGGACAGCTGGATGAGGGTCGCTGATCACAGCTGTCACTTGCACTGCAATCCTGCTGTGGAGATTTTGCCATTTCTCAGAGCCCATTACTTCCCAGTATTTTATATCAAAACATGGATGATAAATTATGACAAGGATCAAGTTTTCAGTGGCTACAGGAGTACAGTTTAGAGCATCAAAATATTGCTTTGCCGTGGCTCAGAATTGATTTAATCAGCGTTCAGAAGGGAACTCTGGGATGCTCCTTCTGTGTCGTCTGACAGCCTTTCTGTTGCTGTGTGCAGCCTGAGAACCTTCTGCTGGCATCTAAGTCCAAGGGAGCAGCTGTGAAGCTGGCCGACTTCGGCTTGGCCATCGAGGTTGAAGGGGACCAGCAGGCATGGTTCGGTAAGAGGGAAGATGGCCGCACCCATCAACACGCCACAGTCCGAACACAGGATCTATGAATCCATATCGGATAGATGCAGACAAAATGCTGAAACTCAAAAGCACGAGGAGGCAGGGGGTCGGAAATACAGGGTACAGGGGGACATGTCCCCCTAATATCAGCACAACCCCACCTTCCCAAAACATAAGTAAATAAGAGCGCATTCCATATCTTTTATTATGAATCCACATGTTACTGAGGCCAAGACTGTAGTCCTGTAACAAACAAACATATACCTAACAAACACTGTAGTCCTGTATCAGACAAGCATATACCTAACAAAGACTGTAGTCCTGTATCAGACAAGCACATACCTAACAAAGACTGTAGTCCTGTATGAAATAAACATATACAGTGCTCTGTGCTCCAACAAGACTGTCATGGGTACATGGGATACCAGTTGGTGTGGGGGGTTGTTAAAAGCACCCTAGCATGCAGTCCAAACTCAAAGCACACCATGCAAACCAGGAGGGAAACGAAATAAACCAAAAACAAGACTGAGCACAGGGCTTTGAGAAGGGAACGGGATGCCTCGAGGTTAGGAGGCATCTTAAGAACATATGGATAGAAGAACACAGACAAAACGAAGCCACTGAAGTATAGCTGGAAGGGAGATGGTTGATGGTACCTGCATGTTTGATCCATGGATCAATGGTGCCTGCACATGAGTGTGTGGACCCAGCTTCATCAGGGCTCATTAGCGTAGCAGCAGGCCGCTCCTCAACAACTGCTGATCAGAGACACAGGTGTGCAGTAAGGGGCCCTGCGCCCAGTGAAGCATAATTCTCCTTCAATTATTTTTACACAGGAAGTGAGTGATTCCTGAACAGGGAATTGTTGTCATCTCCATTATCACCTAGTTATAATAGTTAGTCAAAAAACTTGTATCTTGACAAAATCACCTCATCTAGCTTGGTGCTCCCACCGGAAGTTTTGCAGGAGACTGCAGCAAAGTTAGAGTGACATGAGTCTGAAAGGATGAACAGGAAACACATAGCATGCATTTTCACACGATCTTGCATAACCGGCATGGACCATTAGCCTCTCCGCTCAGTGTTTTGCAAAAGGTTCCTATAAAAGGTTCCTGTGTTCCTATAAAAGGTTCCTCCTCTTGTTTAGTTCTGTTCTTGCAAAATACAGACGGTCCCTGGATTACGATGGTCCGTGTTACGATATTTTGACTTTACAGTGGGTAAATGTTTTTCACTTTCAGTACATTATTTAATAAATTACATGAGATATTCAACACTTTATTATCAAATAGGCTTAGTGTTAATGATTTTGCCCAATTGTAGGCTTCCTTTAAGTTAGAGCTGGATAAGATTTTAACAGCTAATGAGCCATTAGTTGAGTTCTCCCCAAACAAGCTTGATGGGCCGAATGACCTCCTCTTGTTTGTAGATTTCTTATGTTCTTAATGTTCTAAGAATGTTTAAGGTAGGCTAGGCTATGGTGTTTGTTAGGTTAGGTGTACTGTATTAAAATGCATTTTCGCATTACGATATTTTTCACCTTACAATAGGTTTATCAGAACGTAACCCCATCGTGACCTGGGGATGGCTGTATGTATGGATAGAATTAAATAAGTCCTCAGATGCTCATCGGTAATCCCAAAAAGATAGAGCAACACATTAAGTGTCCTTAAAGTAGCATTTCAACAGCTCCGCTAAAGAGATAATTGCTATGCTAATTATTCAAAAAATGCCAGCTCTCAGAGGAGAGCATCTGCATGTGGGAAATCCCATTTTGTAGTCACACCTAAAATTAAATGGCATTAAAAGGCAAGGTGGATGGAGATACCATTGTATCCGCATTAATTACATCTACCTCTCCTGAGATTATAGGTGATATTAACAATGATCTGCAAGACATGCTGTAGACCAAGACGGCACTCTAGAGATTGTGCTGTTGACTGATTTTATAACATTCTATTCTCGTATTCGATTCATTGAATTTTGAAGAGAACCAAATGCCTGTGATATTGCTGGTAGACCTTGAACATAATGCATGCATATATTTTAGATCTCAGATGAGATTAAGTATGTAATAATTAATTCCGGAGTTAATCTTGCAGTCACTAAAGGGGTGTGATGCTGTCAGTAAAAATCTTTTACCTATAAATTTGTTTTCGGTATTCGGTCAAAGTCACCTTATTCCAAAAATCACGCATGGAACACATTAACTATCTGATCTGCAGCGCACTCTGAGCATCACAAAAATCTGAGGGTAAAATTTGATCTAAATCACTTTCTACTAAGCCACAATGTAGCCTGCACTATTCACCCGTGGGAGATAAAAGGAGTTGAGAGAATACGATAGCAAGATGACAAAGGTTGATGATTTATAGATTCCATTGTCATCAGAAGATAATCTGAAATCCATTTAATTCATTCTAAATGTCAGAGTCCTGTTGATTCTGACTGTGGCCAAAGAAAGTACTCCTTCAGAAATAAGATAATAACAATTGTAGAGGGAGATGCATATTTCTGTGTGAAACAGTTATGGGGATTTTAAAAGGGATTTTAGAGGTAATAATGCTTCCTTGGAAACTGAACAAAGATAATGAAACAATCTTAAAGGGGCATTTCGCCTTTCAGGCATGCCGCTGTCTTTTGCATGAGGTTTCATTCGCTGCTTAATGTTATAAAAGACAGAATGAGATCATCCATCTTTTAATGTGTCGTCCTCTGAATTAAAAAGTCATACAGCAATCACATTTCTATTGTATATATGATACAATGTGTTATTTGTGTGTGTGTATGTGGGTTATGTATATATTACATTGTGGGGACCAAATTTCCGCACAATGTGATAAACCTGTTAAACATGTCCACTCTGATTGCTTCAGTGGGGATGCAGATGTTCCCACATCGTCCTCTTGACGTCCTGCTTGTCTCCCTGTCTCCATGCTGCCCCAGGCTTTGCCGGTACCCCTGGATACCTGTCACCCGAAGTCCTGCGGAAGGATCCATATGGGAAAGCGGTGGACCTGTGGGCATGTGGTGAGATGTGGGGGACGCAGCAGGGGACACGATATGGGACATGGCAGGGGACACGGTGGGGGACACGGTATGGGACACAGTGGGGGACGCAGTGGGGGACGCGGTGGGGGACGCGGTGTGGGACACGGTGGGAGACGTGGCGTGGGACGTGGCAGGGGACGTGGCGTGGGACGCAGCAGGGGACACGATATGGGACATGGCAGGGGACACGGTGGGGGACACGGTATGNGCGTGGGACGTGGCAGGGGACGTGGCGTGGGACGCAGCAGGGGACACGATATGGGACATGGCAGGGGACACGGTGGGGGACACGGTATGGGACACAGTGGGGGACGCGGTGGGGGACGCGGTGTGGGACACGGTGGGAGACGTGGCGTGGGACGTGGCAGGGGACACGATATGGGACATGGCAGGGGACGTGGCGTGGGACGCAGCAGGGGGCGCGGCAGGGGACACGGTATGGGACATGGCGGGGGACACGGTGTGGGACACAGTGGGGGACACGGTGTGGGACATGGTGGGGGACGTGGCGTGGGACGTGGCAGGGGACGTGGCGTGGGATGTGGCGTGGGACGCAGCAGGGGACGTGGCAGGGGACACGGTATGGGACATGGCGGGGGACACGGTGTGGGACACAGTGGGGGACGTGGTGGGGGACGTGGCGTGGGACGTGGTGGGGGA